ATCGCAAAACATGTCGTACATTTTTCTTACTCGATATCCAAATTTCTTGCAAATCTAATTGACTATTAAGAATTTTTGCTTTGATTTAATCAAAAAAGTACATGTTGATGAATGTACTCAATGCCATCTTAAACAGTGGCAAGTTGAGAAAAAAAAAAAAGAAATGGCATCTAGCTCAGTATAATTATATTTTAAAGACTGTTTTTAAAACTCGCTCATTCTAAAAGAATTTTTTGAATTGTTAATTTTTTCTTCAGGTTGTCGGTATTCCGCAGTCACGGAAAACCTTACCCTACAGTCAAAATCTTAAATGCTTATGCGAGCAAAATTTGTAGCGAACCAAGGTTAAACATTGAAATGTTGTCCTCAAAAATGAAATTTTTCGAGTTTTCAAAAGAAAGATGTTCTACAAAAACAAATACTTTCTGTTGTTAAATTTTTACTGATTACCTAGTAAGACTTACCAAACCAAACTTAAACTGGAGCAAAGTGATGCAAAACTAAGGGTTCTCTTATGCTTCAACTGGAAGATTCCTCATCATTCGGGGTAGTTTCCAAAAGCCCACAAACAGTCACCACTTGATGACGGTGTAATCACGTACGCTGTTCGGTAACAATGAAATTTGGCCAACAGCCACGGCAAAAAAACGATTCGTCCTGAGCGGACTTTGCAGTCAATCTGCACTATGAGGCTGTAAGATGGCATCACAGTTTCGCACTAAATGCCGTGTTGGTGGTTTTTTGCTGTCCTGAACTCTTTCTCAGTTTAACCTTTGTTCTTTTCTTCTAAGTCTTCTCGTGATTTCAAAGATGCGTTACTTCTTTAATATTAGGAGATAAAAGGATGTTTTCATTTTAGATACAACTTTAATTTTAAGGTCTGACTGCACTGTTGTCACAGCGGTACGGACACTGTAATTTAACTTTTTCTGACATGCATTGCTTAAACGATGTGCTTTGTCGTTACAAAGATTTTTTGACAGTCAAGTGTGTATAGTCATAGCTTATGTTGGGAGTAATTCTGTGACAGTCGCGACCGAAGATCTTGACGTATAACCCAAATTTAAATTCCATAGTTGCTTATGGGAGAAAAAATACATAAGCTTTTGTCAGAAGAAAAAATTGTGAATATGACTCTTTGTTGAAGGCCATTGTTGGTGTGTATAAACGTGGTGTTAATCTTGGAAAGATTAATCTTTTTGAAGTTTGTTATTTGCTCATAAAATTGATCTGAGACTATTTTACACTACTAGAGTGGAAAGTCTAAGTTTTCACTTCATTTCTTCTCTACGCCTGTATTTCAAACGAAATTTTAACGGGCTCAAGATTATCTGCCAGTGTTGCCATTTGCTTTTCATCGGCTGAGTTTAAGTCCTTAGTAGAGGTATATATTTCTGACTACCCGTCGGTTTCGCGAGTGTCAACTCAGTACATTTTTCGTTTGTTTTGAAGCATTTGTTTACTTGTACTTCCCTCTTATTGGTCCTCTCTGTTCTTTTGAGATGAGGCCGTCTGTAGCGAAACTAAGATTATTCGACCAACACGTGTGTGAAAATGTCCGAAAAGTTTTTATTTCTCACATCTGATGAAAAGATTAGGTAAAATAGAACAGAAGTTAGCAATAGTTATGGTGGCTAGGACCAACTTGACCATTTGAAAAATTACAATGAGGATACCAGGTGGCAGACTCAGAAAAAAACGGGAATAAATAGCCAATAAAGTCCTTTTCGAGTGTGTTTATCTTTTGAATCTTTACAAGATTTTTTTTGTTATGCGTAGTATTTGCTGAAGGTTGGCTTAAGCTTTCAAGCTGCACGTGAATTATGACTAAGTTTCTTCACTGATCTTAGTTCAAAACGAATGTAACCAATCCTTTTTATTCAGTTATTTTACTTGAGGAATAAATTTTTTAAGTTCTTCAGTTTGTTTGAAGTTTGTATCACTAATGGTTTAAGCTGTTTCGTTTACAGCTTTGATCTAAACTTATTGGAGGTAAGAATTGAGGTATTTTTCAGTTTTTAGGTGCCCACTTGGTTATGGAGGGAGCAAAACGAGCAGCAGCATTTGCGGCAGGCAAACATCACGTAACAAGCGGTTGCAAGTTGGGTGTTGGTTCTGGATCAACCGTAAAATACTTGGTGGAGTACTTGAGCGAAAGTGTGAAAAATGGCTCATTAAAAAATATTGTTTGCGTTCCTACGTCCTTCTTGACTCGCAAGTGGTTGTTAGATGCAGGATTAGCCGTTAGTAATCTGGAACAAACATCAGAACTTGATGTTTGTATTGATGGTGCTGACGAAGTAGATGCTCATTTGAACTGCATTAAAGGTCTGGTAATGAAAAAAGAATGAAACTTTCTTCAAAAACTTCTGCAGTAATGACTTATGGTTTTTTTAAGTTTTATCATTAGGTATTCTTTACACTATGTTTATTGTACCTTCAAGCAATTAAAGTGGTAGCATATGTGGTTTTTTGGATATTAAATACTTATAGGTAAATTGGTAGTTTTTTTTGAGGACTTAACGGAACTTATTTCAGGAGGTGGAGCATGCCTGACGCAGGAGAAGATTGTGCAGTCAAGCGCCAAACACTTCTTTGTTATTGCTGACATCGGAAAAAAATCAAAACAACTTGGCGACAGATATCGCTCAATACCCATTGAAGTTGTTCCAGTAGGGTAATTTTTCCGAATAATTTAAAATGTGAAATCTTGAAAAATTAAGCACTTTTTAGTTACGTTCCTGTCGTGAATTGGATAAAAAAGCAAGAAGGTGGGAACTGTATACTGAGGATGGCTGAGAAAAAGTGTGGGCCAGTGATAACAGATAATAACAATTATATTGTGGATTGGGAGTTCCCTAAAAACAAATATCGGTCTACTGAAGAACTGGGGGATTTGCACAAACGATTGGTCAGTATTCCTGGTGTTGTGGAAACTGGTTTGTTTGTTGGAGTCGCTGAAAAAGCATATTTTGCAACTCCTGAAGGTGCTGTTACCGAAGTGTCGAAGCCTTAATTGTTACAAATTTAGACTAATATTGGCTTAAAATATAAAATCTTATCCAAAAGGCCAGAAAGTTTGAAAAGCAAGTTGTGAGTAAATGTTTTATAATAATTCTTCCATCCAACTTCACTCCGTTTTTTAAATAAAGTCTTGGTCAAGAATCCTGCGTAACTTCGCTTATGATCTCAAGTTTATTTCTAATTACTGATTTTCTTACCTGATTTTATTTGTTGTTACTCTTAGTTAATTTAAAAATAGTCTTAAATCTTGTGGTTAAAATTTAGTTTTGGGTCATTTTAGCTTTTCGTTCTAATCCTTGTTTTAGTGCGAAAGAGATGGTGTTTAGTTTGCTGCTAGAAAAGCTTTCGGACTTCGAAACCAGTTTTTATCTAACATAATTTTTTGCGCCTTTTGTTTGGGATTTTATTTGCTTGAATTTTTGGTATTTAGATTTTGAACTAGTAATTTATGCTTTTAAGAGTCCCGTAGTATTGAATTAGGCATCCTTTTGTGTGAGTTCTTTCCCATATGACTGTCTTCCAGATTTATGATTGTGATTTCATACAGTTTCACTTTCGACCTTGTTAACGTTCACTTATTAGTTAGATAGTTTATACTGTAAGTAACATACTGTTTTTTCTTTTTTAAATTTGCGACTGTGTTGTCAGGTGTATCATTTACTACTTTCAGCATTTTTAGCTGCTTTCTGGTTGCTGCAAAATGTTACATATTACATTAAATCTTTTATTCTGAAGGAATGTTATGAGTTTTTACTGTTCATTCGGACTTCTTTACTTCACTTAGCTTTTTCAGCGTTTAGTAACGGCATAGAGCTATCCTGGTCAGTTATCACTCAAGTTTCTGAAGACAAAGACGATTATTTAGTTTAATCGTAAGATTCAGTAGTTCCAGTTAATTTCAATTTCTCCACTTGCAGCGGGCAATAAACCAGTTTTTCTTCCTCTTCGTTAACAATTCGGTGTAAAAATTTGCTATTTTTTGGTTTGTTCTGGTGGACAGGAAAGTTTATTAAAGTTGGTAGTAGTGGGTCGGTGGTTAATGAAATGTTGGTTTAACTTGCCAAGTTGGAAGCTAACAACTTCTAACTATTTTAGACGGTTACTACACTGACGGCGAATACTAAGCAAGGTTTAGGGTTCTGGGGAGGATGCTTTCTGAAATGCTCTTAGGGCGGAGAAATGTAATTCATTCACAGTCCGCATTACTTCTTGGTCCTTGTTTCCTTACTGGATGTTACTTGTTATGCAGTGTTAAGGTTATTCAGTGTTGAGAACTAAATGTGGATGCGCTTTAAGAGATTGATGTTATGACTGTTCAAAAAGTGCATAGGTTTTGTTGTCGAGTGCTGGTGTATTATGTTCCCTAACTTTTTGGGTTGAAAGAAATGACGCTTTTTATTAAAATTGAAATGAATTTTTCAAATTTGTTGTAGAAAGTTTGTCTTTTTAGACCATTGGCACGTGTTTAATTCGTAACTCGAAGTTTGGCCGGCTCCACAGTAGTTCTGGTGTTTTGCACCATAAGTTTGCCGCAGGTCTTTGATAGCAGTAGGTACTTATACTGAATTGTTATTGTAAAGATTTGCGCATATCCAGTGCGAATCAGACCATGTCCTTCCTGCAGATGATTTCAGCGACTTATTTAGGTGTTGTAAATGGAAACTATTATCGGAACCGTCTTCTTCTCGTTCATCGACCCTCCGAATGTTCGTATTACTTGGCCTCGCTGGCTTAAAGTCTGTTTTTTCTTTTCAAAATCTTCGCTTTTCCGTTCCTTAAGCTCGTTTTTACTTTGACAAAGATCATTGTAAAAAACTCAACGCTTCCTAGGGGGATTTGGGCACTCTTTGCTTTCTTTATACTAAAGAGACAGAGTACAAATTTTTGGTCTACAGCTATCGGAATTCAGATGCCCTCTCCGATGCAAGTTCTCGCTTTCGTGATGGTAACTTATTTTATGGTTACAGGCGGTGTTATTTACGATGTCATCAATGAACCACCAAGTGTAGGTCAGAATTCCATTTTTTTTACAAGACTACTAGTGCAAAGTTAACATTCCTTGTAGAAAAATACTTGAACTTTGTAACAAATGATAAGATTTACGTCTTTGTTAAACGATGTGCGTTTTATGTTTTGACTACATTTACTCGTCTTGACAGGGCAAACCACTGACGAAAGAGGGAATGCACGCCCTGTGGCAATAATGCAGTACCGAGTTAATGGTCAGTATATCATGGAGGGTTTGGCAGCGAGTTTCATGTTCACCATTGGAGGCAAGTTATTCTGACTTACTTAATCCTTAAATGTTCATTCCTTTCTGTAACCGCAGTAAAACTTGGTATATTTTCATCGCTTCTCGAAGACCTGTATTTAAGGTTTGGGGCTGATTATACTTGACAAATGCAACGACCCTTTAACTCCAAAACTGAACAGACTGATGATGTTGGGCTTCGGCTTTATTTGTGTCGTGATTGGATATGTTGCAACACGAATATTCATGAGGATAAAAATGCCTTCTTACTTGCACAGTTAGGCTTTCAAGACTAGCTCGCTACAACTGCAATAAAGAGGTTCCGGCATCCGTAAAATACCACTACCTTCTTTAATTTAGATCACAAAACTGTCTGATGTTCTTCAAAACGACCTTTTTGAAGAAACTTTGTTCACAGAATTTCTCGACTGTTATTGTTGGTTTTCCATAAATAAAACGAAGGGTCTCAAGAAAAGGTTCCACAGTTTTCATTTCAAAACCCACTTAATCACATTCTACAATAAACCGACTTCATTTAACAATTCACCGAGGGCCTAACAACAAGGGACACGGCTTAAAACAGCAGGATGTAAAGGAGATGTGAACATTAACCTCTGCATGGTTTTTCAACAACACTCAAACTCAATGAGATTTTTAGAAAAGTGAGGTCAAGTTCCTTTAGTGAAGTGACAAATAACCACCCTTAATGAAAAGTTACCAACTATCCTTACTTTCCACTAGCAAATGAATTTGGGCAACTAACAAATTTGTTTTGAAATAAAGCTATGAAACTGAGTGAAGAAAGGAACATGTTACGAGGAGAGAGAACAAAGACGAGGATTTAAATCAATAGCAACCTTGAAGATTCGACTCGAGATAGACAAGATCGCGCAAAACGGTTCAATAAGAACCGCTTAAGCGAGAATGATCAAAAGTTAACAGAGAAAATATTGTTTTCGCACGTCTGCAATGTCCTGAAACAAGATTCAACACAAGTACTGAGAACCTCTAAAATAAGCCCCCTGGCTGACGCCTGAAAACAGATTTTGTGCGATTCTGCATGCGACGATAATATGTGGATAACAAGACTTACATTTCCATAAAGGAACTAGACTGGACAAATGTACAATTCAACTCAAAGATAAATACAAACTGGCCAGCATTAGTAATTCTAAACCTATGCAGTTTCCTTTGAAATTTCCCTTAAAAAAAAGAAATTTAATGACTTTGCTCATTTGCAAATGTGGTCAGTAACAACAAAAAACGAGAGCATTTGCTAAAGTACAGACGCAGCAGAATTCATGACAAAATATTTATAAAAATGGGCAGAAAACATTCACAAATTATCAAATTAGACATTTAAAACTTGACCGTTAGTGTGCTGAAGGACTTGCAATAAAAATATGGAATAAACAAAATTTAAATCCAAATACTTTTGTTACAAAATTGAATTACCAACCTAAACC